AACAACCAGTAAGATTACCATCCATTGATATATGGTCCCCGGTAAGTAGATAGAATATAGAGTATATCGGGATCTTATTATAATATGCCCAAAGCCATATTCTATCTACTTAAGGGGACTGTAATCCTATAATTCGACCCATTTTTGGGTTCGGAGATTCTTCCTCTTACCGTTGCTTCGCCAGGAGTGAAGGAATGGATTCTTACAGTAGCCCCTGTATAGTCCCAAATACTATAAGGCTTTCCTGCTGCGTTTTTGTTCCATTCCTTCATTCCCTGCTAACCAGAGAAGACGAAAAAAACTCTGGTAATGACAATCTCTCCCGCCCCCAAGTAATGAACCCCGATTGGGGAGAGTAGTTTTTACTAGGGGGCGGGGGTTTGTTAATATGGTAACAAGCCCTAAACCCTAAAAGTATCAGAGGGTGGCTTTCGTCTCGAAGCAGAGCTACATTGAACCGGCTCAACAATCTTCAGTTCCGGAAAGTCGCCTGGAAAAGAAAGTGGAAAACGGAATGGAAATTAGTATGTATAGGATTTCATAAGGTTCATGCAGGGGTATATAGGGTATTCTCCCGAATTATGGAAATTTTGAATGGAAAGGACGGTGGAACATGCAATGAAAACTGGGGTTAGTGGTTATAAGTTATAAGCTTAAGGGGTTCCCACTGTTGATATTCGAAAGCCCCTGAAGCCATGTTCTCAGTTTTCAGGGCCCCTAAACCCTAAACCCCTAAATCCTTAACCCTTCACCTTAAAACCCCAAACCAAGTCCCTTTAAAATCCTTGAAAGGCTAAACCCTCAACCCTCAACCCTAAACCCTAAACCCTAAACCCTTTGCCAGGCCCTCCTGCAGGGGGGTGCCGAGGTAAACCATGCCGAGCGCCTCAACAAAAGGCCTGCTGTAGGTTGGGGTTTATGGGGTTTATGGGGTTCATGGGGTTTATGGGGTTTATGGGGTTTATGGGGTTTATGGGGTTTATGGGGTTTATTAGGGGTTTATGGGGTTTATGGGGTTTATGGGGTTTATTAGGGGTTTATGGGGTTTAGGGGTTTATGGGGTTTATGGGGTTTATGGGGTTTATGGGGTTTATGGGGTTTATGGGGTTTATGGAGTTTATAGGGTTCATAGGGTGAACTGTTGAAAGTTTAGGGGTACATGTGGTCAAGAGGTTGGCCGGGAGCCGTGCAACCCACAATAACCCCTAATAGCTCCTGGGTAGCCTTTGTACCAGGCCTCAATCGTCTCCAATAGGGATTTGGGTTAGAGGCTGGGCGGTATTTCAAGTAGGGGTACTATAGTCCCCAATGCAGAGTAGGATTACATCCTCCCTTTCTGGATCTAGTGCGTTGCAATAAGGTTCTCCGGCACAGAGGACTTACAGGGCTCATAATGGAAAAGACAGGAACATTCAAAACGACATGGACACTGGATGTATGTATGTAGGGGTAGGGGTTCTTTTGTTGTGATAATGTACAAGCCTAAGTCATTATCAATACTGGTCCCTCACAATCCCTATACTAGCTATAGTCTAAACTCCTCTTAAAGTGGGTTGTGTCGGGGATTATATAGGGGATTACTATAGGGGCTATTAAGAGGGATGCTAGGAGGTTAGACTATAAGTCGTAATATAAACCTATAAACACCAGTTTCCACTTCATTTTTAATTTGCTTTCCCACTTGATTCTCCATCATTAAGGGGGATACTAGGATGTAACTACCCGATGCTTCTGCTTTTATCAACTCAGGCCTAGCAGAGGACATACAGGGACCAAGCAGAGCACCGGATGGTTGAGAGCGGCAGGGTGGCGGTGTCGGTGGTGGTTGTGTTCCTGCTTGGGGGTGCATTCTTCACCAAGTCCCACCACTACGATACCGCCCACGTCCTGCACACAAAATCCCAGGGACAGAATTCTAGTCCTCCACCCCAAGTACGCCCCAAAGCCGTACGTCCCAAGCTCCAAGCCCAAAGCTGAAATTCTGAAATTCAAGTCCCCAACTGAAAGCCTTGCAGCCCAAAACTGACACCCAGATCCTAAACCCCAAGCCTTGATTACCCTATGTAACCCCTATATAACACCCTATATAACCCTATATAACCTTATATAATCCCTATATTGCCCTATCATCACCGCAGCAAAAGCTCTAGCGTTTTTTTACGGCCTTGGGAGGACGGCCCTGATGATGGCAGCCCAGGGAGGACACGAAGAAGTTGCCGGGGACCCTGGTTTTAGGACTATATAGAGGTTGTATAGGGTGATATAGGGATTATACAGAGGTTATATAGGGTGATATAGGGATTATATAGAGGTTATATAGGGTGATATAGGGATTAGATAGGGGTTATACAGGGCAATATAGGGATTACATAGGGTAATATAGGGATAACATAGAGCACTATAGGGATAATATGGGGTTATATAGGGTTATATAGTGGATAATGGAAAAGATTCAAACTACTATAATGATTCGGGTTGCCTGCTTATAGGGGTAGAGGAGGAGCAGCAGTAGTGGTGGTTGTGGCGATGGGGGTGTTGGTTGTCTGATTCTCGGACAGGGAGTGGCAGAGGCAGGAAATGACAAGCATGATTGATGACTTATAAAGGCCATTCTTCTACAAAGGTATAGTCTAAAATTCTTTAAGGGGATTACATAGGGGAGTATTTCAGTGGCTACTAGGGGGAATACTAGGAGCTTGGACTATAGCTCACATGTTCTGGGGGATTGGATCATAGTTTATACCTGGGCCCCAAAAGTACTTAAGTTAATAGCCCTAAAATCCCTAGAAACAGCACACAGGGCCATTATCATACATATTTTTCAGGGTTCAAGTAAGACTCATGAAGCCAGCCCCTGCTCCTCGTCTTCAAGGCACTCGCCATCTTGTGGAACCCTTGACCCGAAACAAAGTTGAGGGTATGGGGTTTAGGGGTTGTAGGGGTTTAGGGGTCCAGGGTTTAGGTTTAGGGATAGCCGCGCCTTCGACAGGTCGCTCCAGATTCTGCCATATCTTTTTGCAGAGTCTCGCTCCCCAACCCCAAGACCCAAAACTTGAGCCCCCAAACCCTGAACCCCAACCCCCACATCGAAACAGCAGAGCCCTAAACCCTAAATCCCCACGCTCCAAACATTGGTTCAAGCCACCGTTGCTAGCTCTTGCCATTTGCAGGTGAAGTCTCTTCTGGCAGCGAAGGCAGACACCAAAGAGGCCAGGAGAGATCGGGTTTAGGGTTTTGGGTTTGGGGGCTTAGGGGTTTGGGTGTAGGGTTTGGGGTTTAGGGTTTAGGGGCTCCTGGGTTTAGGGTCCAGGGATTTAAAGGTTTCAGGGTGGCTGAAGGCTTTAAGGTGAAGGGTCAAGTGTAATCGTGTAGAGCTTGGGGTTATACTGTTGATGGAGGAAATCTTGCACCACGTTGAGCCCCCAAAGTCCAAGGAGTTAAGATCAGTGTTCTCTACAGGGCGTCTTTGTCGCTCCGTATTAGTTTCGGGGGCCTTCAGGGTAACCAAAATGTACAAGAACTGGACAGTAGGAATTTTCCACTTCGGATGACCACAGTCGTGCACGCAACAGACCGCCCGCTGAACACGATTTCATCTGGTAGTTTCCAAAAATTCGGAGTCCCTGTGCACAACGAAATAGTAAACCCCGCATAATGGGAACTTCCAGAAAGGGAGTCTTCATTGTTGGAATTCCGCATTTGTGCTCCCTGAAAAGATAGCAAACGATGGGCCGCACTGCGCCAGGGTTAGTTTTTAGACCTTCGGGGAGGAGAATAACATTGTTTCAAACAGATGAGGTATATGAGAAAATTGCGATCCCGTCCCCCTAAGGATACCCACCGCACCCCCAATAAAACCTGTCTCCAATATAGTGCCATGATACACTAAGAGGATTTTTTAGTTGTACCGGGGTTGGGGGTCTATTATTGGAGGGGAAACCCTAGACCCTAAACCCTAAACAACCTGAAACCTTAAACCATCAACCCTAAACC